AACAATTAGTGTATAACTTTAATCGAGATTATTTCAGACCTATACGAAAACGATTTGCTTAGGGAAATCGATTCCTAGGCTTGCTAGTTCGATTAGTAGGCGTCTTATCTTAGTAAGATAATTATATATACTATCGAAATCGCCTAATTAACTATTAAATAGGCTTTTTAATATAAGGAATTCGGTAGTAAAGCCTTTAGGTCGATATTAGGTAGCTAAGGTAACCTATACTTAGTAGGCCGATATAGTATCTCCTAACTAAAAGAGTAGGCTATCCTTATATAATAGTTTAATTAATAATAGAGCGTCTCGATTTATCTAATTAATAGTTTTAAATTTATTAGATAGAATAACTAGCTTATTTTAGCCTATCTTAGCAGGGCTAGTAGATCTTACAGGTCTACTAGATCTTCTTCCTAACTAAATCGTAGTATTTCTATAATCAGGTAATCGTTAATCAGGTAGTAGAGCAATTACTTTTTCATAAGACTAGTATTAATTAGGAATCTAGCCTTGCTAAATAGCAGGAAGCTTTATATAATTGTGTTAGATTACATTAATTAGTCTCTCTTAATCAAGAATTGCCTTAATTCGGATAGACTAGGCAATATAATTTCCTTCTCCTTTAAGAGGATCGATATTATGTTTGTTGATTATTTTAAGTCAAAGAAGCTTAATTGAATATTTGAAAAATAATTGTTTTTATTAAGAAAGTCGAGATTTCTTAGTATTTCGTATAGAATAGTAGACGCGACCGGTAAAAATCGAGTATAAATTTTTAAAAATAAGAAGTCGGAGGAGCTTTTTGTTTCTCTTTAAGAGAGAGAAGTTTCTCTTAAAAGTAAGGGATTCTTCGTTAAAGATAGAAGATTGAAGAAGTAGTATAAGCCGAATTAAAATAGGATCAATTCGGGCTTATAACCTATAAGCAAGCGATGCTGCGCAGGTTAGTAAAGAGGAAGATAAATTAAAGATGATTAAATAAGATCGATTGATCTTTCTTCCTCTTGATTAAATAGGAAGGATAAGTTCAATTCGGCTTAGAATCATAAAGATAAGAGAAAAGTAAAGTAGGACTAAAGCTTGGTTGATTATATTGAATCTTGCTTATATATATAAACATAATTATTATCTTGGTAGAGAAAGCAGGGCATATTTATAATCAACTTGTCTCTTGTATGTGATCATTCTAGATAATACATAATGATCTTATGTAGACAGATCTAGATGCATAGTGATCTTATGTAGTAGCTATTTGATCGGTGGTTGCTTGATTGTACGATGTCATTGACTGTAGTGATGATGTAGATCGTGTTATTGACCGTAGTGATGATGTAGATCGTATACTGTTGTATACGTCTTACTTGATGTCATTGACCGTAGTGATGATGGTATAGCATAAAGCTTATAGAGATTCAGCCATCTTGTATAGGCCTTATGAATCCTGTATAGCGGTTTAGGCATCTTGCCCTATATCTCACACCGAATATCTCACAGAGTTACTTAGGAAGTAGCAACCCTTTAGAGTTCCGAGGAAGTCTGTCTATTCCTCCTAGGAGTACTAGGGATAAAGCAGAGCTGCTTATATATAGACTAGATAGAGGAAGAGTTAGCTCGACTACTACGACTATAGATACGGATAGGAAATCGATAGGTAGAGATTAAGAGGATCGATACCTAGTTAGAATAGCTACGGTTAACCTTATAGATAGACGTTAATCTAAAGGATAAGTTACGTACGATTAAGAAATAGATATTAAGGTATAAATACGTATTAATACTAAGTTTAGTAATAGTAGAGGCTAATAGGATATAGATATAAAATCGAGATTCCGAAGTAATTTAGTATAATTACTATCTCTAACCGAGAACTAACTAGGATCGCGAAAGCTATATTAGAAGTATCTTCGGATAAATAATTATTATTAGTATATATACGTATTTCCTAGTTAGAAAGAATAAGACTAAATTACCTTCTAAATATACTATATCCTCTTCTATTCTAAGACTATATTATATATACTTAGTTAAATTACTTAACTCTGATATTAACGGTCGTATATTAAATTACTTCCTTCTTTTCTTTTCTTATTCACTCTTCACTATTATAACTATAGTATATTCGCTTATATATATAATCGTATATTGTTATCCCTAAATAATAATTTAATAATTATTATATATAGGCTTTAGATATTTTTCTTACTCGCGGTATTCCTTCGCGGTTATCCCTCGCGGTATTCTCTCGCGGTATTCCCTCACGGTTATCCTTCGCGGTATTCCTTCGCGGTTATTACTCGCGGTATTCCCTCGCGGTATTCTCTCGCGGTATTCCCTATAAATTTCACGAGCCTACTATATACGTAATTTAGTCTTAATTAGAAAGCGAAAAACGGGATATATAACTTTAGATATAATTCTATAGATCTTTTAAATTTCAAAGAGAAATATAAATATTAAGGGGTAGTTATAGAGCGTACAAGAAAATTACCCTTTTGGGAAAAACCCTATATATAATTATAGAAATTTCACGATCCTACTATATACGTAATTTAGTCTAAATTAGAAAGCGAAAAACAGGATATATAACTTTAGATATAATTCTATAGATCTTTTAAATTTCGAAGAGAAATATAAATATTAAGGGGTAGTTATAGAGCGTACAAAAAAATTACCCTTTTTAGGTTAGCGTACTTTCTCCTGTATACTAAAAATACGTATAGAAGCCCGAACTTTAACGCCTGATTTAAGACGCTATAGGGATCGTAGAAAGAAGGTAAGATATGTTTTAGAATACAGAGAAGTTAAGCTATCTAGCTATATTAAAATTATAGTATAATATTAAAGTTCTAGAGGTACTCAAATACTATGATTTGCTATATAGACTACAAGCGCGTAGACAAGGGCATATTTATACTCATCCGCCCTAATCCGCTAGTTTAGTAGCTCTAGACAAAAGTTAAGGTAGGCTTTCTCGATCGGCTGGAAGTGAAAGGGGGAGGATAGAGTCGAACGAGCAGGGCTCGTACGAGTATCATTACTCTCGTACGGATCCGGGGATTAGGACCTAGTCGCTAGAGACTAGAGGGCCTACTATACCTTTCGTTGGCGGTGGTTGAACCGGTAGTAAGGGTATATAGGGTAGGAGGGCTCTACTAGGTACTGCGTACGAGTAAAGAAGCCGATAATCTACTACTACGGTGCGATATAGCGAGTAATAGTCTCTAGGTCTATATATGCTTAGAGTAGGGTATAGGGGGCCTGGTCTATCTCGGTTCGTACGATCTCTACCCGGATAAGGTAGTTATACCGTTTTGCGATCTACTACGCCGTACGAGCTATATTCGCTATAGCCTAGTAGATCGCCTATAATAGATCTAGGGGATCCTCCTCTAGCAGCTCTACTAGGGAGTAGAGGGTCTCTAGGAGCTAGCCCGTAAGATATTAGGACTACCGCGTACGATAGAGCTATAGTATAGCCTCGTCAAGCTCTACTATCTCTACCGTACGATTAGAAGGTTAAAATATCTGTTAGTACTGCTCTTCTAGCTAGTTAAAAGAAGATTATTAACGGTAGAAGATATTTAGTCGCGCTCTACTAATTCTAATCGTACGGGGGGTATAATAGTAAAGTAGTAAGAGTAAGGCCCTTAGCGATAGAAACGTTGGTAGATAATAGGGCGAGTATACTCGCGTAACTTATCTTCGGGTGTAGGTAGAGATAAGAGAGTAGTTAACAATTAAGAGGAGGAGTAAGCGTGCTATTAATAACGAACTCGCTAGTACTCCTTTATTCCTTTCGTCGTACGACAAATATATCGGTATAAGGGAGTACGCTAGTATTAAATACTATCTTGGTAAATAGGAAGGAGATCAAAAGGCGGGGGCTAATTAGGGATTAGGCTATAATTAAAGATAGATAATAACTAGGGCTAGAGCCTAGGAAGATATTAGTGAATCTATATAGCCGTACAAGAGGAAAGAGAATAAGGAGAATAGCGAAGATAGGTTATAACTTAACTGATTCGTATAGCTAATTAGCAGTAGGTACAAACTAGAATAGGAAGAGAGGGAAGGACGGTAAAAAGCTCTTGAGTAAGGGAGGGGATATTAGTCTCTATTTTTAAACGTCAAATTTGAGGATCACTAGAAAGTGCTAGGAGATAACAAACAGAGTATTAATAGATATTTAGGGGTTATACGAGAATAATCGTATTATATAAAATATAAAGTATAGGTCTAATTAGGAAAGGTAGGCCCTCCCGGTTGTACCCTATTAAAAATAAATTAGAGTTTAGGCAATTTAGGGTTAAAGCGTACGACTGCTATAAGTGACTCTAGAAGCTAAAAATGAAACGAGACATAGATTCAATATAAACTTAGAATACCTGAAATTTTCAAGTTAATCGTACGAAGAAAAGTGCTAGCAGTCAGGTCAGGAAAAGAGCGAGCAGTGAGGGTGGTAGGTCCAAATTCTGCCCATACATAAGGCCAATACACCGCCAAGCAGTAACCCTCACTCCTCCAGGTCCCTTGGGATAGGAACCCTACTCTCGGTTAGTCTAGATTCCCAGAGAATCCGACTCGCTCTGCCTAACATGCGTTCTAGGTCCGGACTGTTCGAATCTGTGGATAGGATCCTCTGTAAGCTAATATTTTCCTTCTACAATTTCTGTGCTAGAGCAAAGCTCATACAACCACGCGAAAGTACTGTGTCATAGGGCCCGGCTGGCAAAGTGTTTCATATAACATGACAACCAACACGACTACCTCTACATCTACCACAGGTGCACCTGCACCAACCCAAACTGGTATTGTTGCTAATTGCCAAGCTTAGTATGTGGCTCAGACAAATGATACCTGCGCGGCTATTGCATCGGCAAATGGTATTACAGTGTCCTAGTTCGGGGCATAGAACCCAGCTGTGGGAGGTCAGTCATGTTTTGTTTCCAGATCATCTCTCCTTTGCAACTAGCCACTAATTGCCGTGAAATTATTAGCGGGTTGCGGTGGCCTCTAGGTGGGTGACGCATACTGTGTCCAAGCAGATACGGCGAGTACCACAACGACCACAAGTACAGACAGTGGAACTGTCACTCCTCCGGCACCGACGCAATCTGGCATCGTCGCTAACTGCCAGGAATATTATGTTGTTAAAGCTAACGATACCTGCGCGACTATTGCGTCGGCGTATAGAATTACTGTGTCCTAGTTCGAAGCGTGGAATCCAGCTATTAGAGGTAAAGTTGATCATCCGTAATAACGCCTTCCTTCATCTACTAACATCTCAATTTCCAGCCGATTGCGGCGGCCTTTGGCTCGAAGAAGCCTATTGCGTGAAAGCCGTGACCGCTAGTTCTATAACGACTTCAGCTGCATCTAGTGTGACTGCTCCAGCACCCACTCAATCCGGGATCCTAACAACCTGCAACGCCTACGATGTTGCCAAAGATGGCGATGGATGTGAGATATTTGCCTCTTGTAATAGGATTACCGTTTCTCAGCTTTGTCAGTCCAGCTCTATATTCGAATGACCGATTCAAGTGAACTAACAGACCCATCCTTGACAGACACATGGAATCCCGCTCTTAACAATGCCTGCCAAAAGTAAGATAATTGTCCTATCCCCCCCGGCCCCCGACTTTTTTCTCCTTTGATGCTAGCTACTGACTGTCACTCACTTTCCCCTAAAACAGCTTCTGGTTAGGTGAAGCCTATTGCGTTGGTGTATCATCCTAAAGATCATAGGTTTGATGAAGCGGATAGAAAATATATCACGATCTGATCATTGGGCTATGTAGTATTTTTATTATATATGTCGATTAGTTCATCAAATTCAACTATCTAGCTAGTAGAAATCGTGTTTTCCCCCTCGTTGGTTGTATCTATCATTCATCCATCATGACTAGATAGATTGCGCAAAAGATAAAGCGACGATCGACTCAAACAAATTCTCAAACCCCCCACTCTTTGAACTTAGTCTCCAAATCCTTTCCGGTGTGTCCACGCGCAACGTTTTCCCAGGCCTCAAAGACCCGTACATCGGGTTGGTAGAGGCGCTTAGCCTTTGCTTGCCTTATTAATATGTCGGTATTAAATGAGCAAGGTTCATTATCTTCGTTTCTCTATATAAGCCTAGAAGTTCCCGCTCGCACTTCATACTCTAGTGAGTACCGTGGGAGGCTATCAGTCTGTAAAACCATCCGTCTCAGTTTAGGCATCTGGAGGGCAGCCTAGGCAGCTAAGATGTAGAATCTGTCGGCGTAGCTCGCGATAATCTTAGATCGAAAATATATAGACCTACGATCCTCGGGAGGGATCCGAACGGATTCGGGATATTGCTCCTCCCTAGTATCGTAGTATTCGGGATCCGTGTTATCTTCTGTTGGATCCGTTTTCTCCGGATCCCGTTCTAGGAGCCACTTTCCCGACGGCGTAACTGGCGCATAGCTCACCGTTACATCTCTGAGGTTTGGCTAGAAGGGTCGATTCACCGGTAGAGTATCCTCCTGTGAACTCGACGGCTAAAAAAGCTCTGGGCCTAAGACTGTAGATTCTTTGATGTTGAGAATCTCTAGACGCTGCGACAAATCCTGTAGACACGAACTTAAAAGGTCCGATCCATCCTCTATCACGTTTGGAGGATCGTAGTACTGATCACTAGGGGGCACGTATTGAAATTGGAGATCAAACCACTGTACCCGAGCAGGGAAGAGGTGAAGATTGCGTGCAAAGTCTAGGCGAAATAAATTAGGTCAAACTTAGTGTCACTTAACTAGGGTTGAGCTTTCCACGATAGGATCTGGCTTACTATTTCGAAGTTGTTGTCTTAATCGTTCATCCCGCTTACACCCGTCCCTTATCAATAGTTCTACTCGATTTAATTGCGGTAGTTTCGACGCGATAACTACAGTCGATGCCGGCTCGATTAGCCTTTCGTTTCCGAGGCCTTGGATTGAAAGATGGGTCACTATAGGGACCGGTGGGCACTCGACATCTATAGTAATTCGAGAGAATTGTAGGTAGGATCTCTTATATCTCTTATGAAGAAGATCGTCTATCCTTGATCTAGCGGCTTGTTTCCGTCGTTGCTTCATATCGAGAGAGTCACTCGGGGACTTTGCCTGGATAGAAAGCCTGATGCTAGCAGCATCTGTTAGCTAGCTTGATAGGATTTTGAAAAGAGTGCAAATTATTGAGGTAAAGATCTTGTTGTTTTGTTGGCGGTCCTCGTCTGTCTCCTATTGAGCGCGCGCTTGCACATCGTATAACTCGAGCTGCACGACTAACTTAATAAGTTGGATACAAGATCTTCGGCGGGGCTCCGTTACGATGCGCTGGAACTCTTCTATTCGTTTAGCTGTGTGAATTCGAATTTTGGCGAATGTGCGTCTCTCAACAATAGCCTGCCAGTGACGGCCTAATATGGCATATGGAGCCAGGCTACGAGACCCGCGTGCATGATCCCTGATTATGTGGTCCAATACCAGGGAGATTAATTCAGGTGGTAATAAATCCATATTGTGATGGCTGGTAGGTGGGGGTTTGAAGAGGAACAGACCGGCTGCTGCTAAGTACTTATACTGTAGGAACTAAACCAGGCTAGTAGGCCTTTGTTACCGCTTTTCAGGATTTACTGTGGTTAGTGACGTCTGTAACTTTCGGGTAATTTTCAAAAACAAGTACAGATACAAAGTCGTCTTTGACACCTAACACTTTATCTTTTATGTCGGAGCAACGGGGGAGAGCTTACATGACAATATATAACCAACTGGTTCTAGTAAATCACAGATCCTATACACTTTAGATAAATGATGTACTTCAAGAGTCGGAATACTGCTTAGTAAATCATACTGCGCACCAATCGGATATCAACAAGTCTGAATTGCTACGATGCCCCTTTTCTAGCAATTTGTATTGGCAAAAACATGACTAAGCTAGGCGGGTGTTTAGTATTTCCTTTTCCACCGGATCCGGGTTCCAGCTCAGCGGGACCCAAAAAAGTTCAACGGGACCCAAAAATTTTCTGACTAATCTTGGGTCCCGATAAGGTGCCGGATCTCACCGGGACCCAAAATATTTTAGGTCCCGATAAGTTATTATGCTTACTTTTATGTATTTTATGCAGGGTTCAACTAAAGTTAAACCTTCCCCTTACTAAAATATACTATATCTCTATATAACTCAATACAACTCTGTATACTACATTATATAATAATTATAAAGGCACTTTGAATTAATTATTTATAAACTTATAAAAGAAATAGCCTTACTATTAATAAATTACTAGGTTTGAAAGAAAAATATAGATTTTGTGGGGTTCTAAGTAAAAAGTGTTAACAAAGAAATAAGAGATATATCTTCAACACAAATACAACACTACTACCTTCTTCTTCTTCCCTCACCACCTACTTTGTTTACTAAAGGTTAGAATATCTGTTTACTCTACTCTCTAACGCGTTTCTCTATATGTTTTACATATGCTGAATACTTCTAGCTTATTAATATGTCGAATCTTGGACTCTTCCCTGGCCTAGGTCTAACCCGGGCCGAATTTGATAACACTACCGTCTTAAACGCGACTAACCCTAACCCTCTCCTGGGATATACGTATAGTATATCGCCTAGAGGCATATACTATTAATATACTAACTATATATAGGGCCTATTCCTAATAATAATCCTAGCTAGAAGCTAGCTATATATGCGGCAGCTCTAGCTATAGGCGCTCGCTATTATAATATTAAAGCAGTAGATATCGCGGTAACCCCGCCTCTAAATCCGGCTAAGGTTCTTAATAAAGAGAATATAGGAGTATACGTAGTATCTAAATATACTAAGGGTATAGTTATCGTATACTAACACTAAGAGGAATAGCTATAATATTATCGTTAACCCTCCGTCCTAAATATACGGTCTAGTCTTCTTAGAGGGACCTGCTCTACGTCGATATATCTGTAATGAATATTCCGGAGCTAGTAAGTGTCTATTCGTTGGATATATTGAATATATACTAATAATATAACTACGATATATATCACGGGCCAGTGTTAGTCACGTGTATCACGGGACCTTAGTATGTTGACGTGGAGAACGCGCAGGATAAACTTCCCCTCCTTAAGCTTTTTGTAAACAGCATGTTGGCCTAGTTAGATTGAATTAAGTCTTGCTTCAGCCCTTCATATACAAAAAGCTTCCTTCTACACCTAGAAGTATTATTAGTTATTAGAAAGCCCTAGGAAAACAACCTAGGCACTTATTAGAAATACTCCTGAATCCCTAGCAATTCAGTGACGAACATATATCGGAACGGAATCCTCGCGTATAGATCTCTTAGCGCTCGAGACGTATTAGAAAGCCCTAGAAGATCTTAATTCCTAGGCATATTGGAACATTAGACGAAAAGCGACCGAAGTATTACCGGCACGCTACACAACCCCTAGGCGCTATGTAGTACTAGGAATCGACGAGCCCTCCCGGGTAGGCGCAAATACTATTACAGCAGATAGCACAGACCTAGGCTATGCAGAACGAAGAAAGGGAGCGGCGCCACCAGCAAGATGCTGCTCAAGAGGAGCGGATGCGTCGCCTCGAGGCAATGCTAGAGTATCAGGCCTCACTAGCTATAACGATAACCACGACGAACGAAGGGCAGGCGATACCTACACGATTAGCCACCGAATCGATGCCGATTCCCCTACGAACAGAAATTATTTACCGACCGAAACTACGTCTCCCGGACCCAAAACTATTCGGTAGAAGCACGAGCGATTAGCTAACCTAGCATATTTTAATCGAGAATAAGCTTAGCGTAGACGGCGAAGCTATCGGTTCCCCCTAGGATTAATTTATATACGTATTCTCTAGACTAGAGAAGCTTGCCTGGAAGAATACCGGAACCTTCATGAAACTCCGCCGGAACACTAGCGAACCGTAAGCCTTACTCGACTATCTTGAGAATATCTACGGAGACCCGAATATTAAAGCACGCGTAGCAAGACGACTCTACTAGATTCGACAACTAGAGGATATAAGCTTTTCTAGGTTCCTTCCGAGACTAGAAAAGGAATTCGCTAATACAGACGCTCTTAAATAGCACGACGAGGCAAAAAGGCAGGTCCTTCTTAGCGCGCTTAATAAAACTATAACGAATACGTTAATAAATCGAGGTATCCCTGCTACCTCGTCGGACCTAATCTCCCGGCTTCACGAGATTAGCTTGGATATAGATGCCCTTAATATCAACAAAGAGGAACGAATATGTCGTCCGCGCTTGCCTAGACAAAATAGCGACGAAATAGATTAGACACCGACCGTGTCGGTAAACCGTGCCGAGCTATATACGAAACACCGCCGACCTAAAAGCGGAACGCCGAGACAAGCTTAATAGGTTAGTCAGGACGAGATAGATTAGCAACGTACTAAAGGGAAATACCTACGATATAGAAGATCAGGATACCTTATCGCGAGGTGCGCGCTTCTACTAGCCTAGCGGCCGAATAGCACACGCGTTACTACTAGCTCGAGTAAGAAAGGACAGGAGCGTATAGTTAAGGTGAAGAAATCGAAGCCTATAAGCGACCGAGATTTAGCGATAATAGCTTCTGATAATAAGGATATGACTACCGAGGATAAATCGGGAAAAGAGTAGCTCCTATTCTAAGCCGCGAGCAGGAGCAAAAGGGGGTCGAAAAGCTACTAGAATATAAGATATTACTATTTATAGTCGATGCTAGAGT